CGGGCGTAAGCCTCGACTACAGTTGGCAGGGCAGCAACAAGGGCTCCTACCTTCCATCCAATTGCCCCTCCTTTGTTCACCGGCGGAGCCATTTTCTTTGGACAGCAAGGCAGTTCAACCCAATTGCGAGAGCAATCGGTAACTGCTGAAGATGCTCTAAAAAGTAAGAGCCATGACTATTTGAACCCTAGACCACTTTACATCAGTGTTGACAGCCAACCACTAAAGCATCACCAATGTCATGTCATTCGTTTGGCCATAATTGTTTCAATTTAGTCAATATGACGATAGTTGATTCAATTTTGGTTCGGGCATGTCGGTGCAAAATCTGAACCGATTCTAACACTAATTCTAGGTATGTAACAAATCTCACAATTTAAGCCTACTATTTTGTTAAACAAAAACTTTATTGATAGAAAAAGATGTTACAGAAAATAAACATAAAAATAAATTGTAATTAGATCAAAAGACAAAGAAACCCAAGCAAAACACATAAAGGATCCAACCAGACTTTGTCCGTTGATAGAAGTCGTCACTACCACAATCATCGTGTACCAATTCCATTGCTCGGGTCAATGGATTCATCATCAACTACACCAACAAAAACCATAGGCCTCAAGATATATAGAGGGAGAATTTCAAACTCGAGACGTATGAGTAGAAACCCAACAACACCTTATCTACTAGAAAATTTGACCACATGCAAGCCCTAAATTAAAAACAAAACAAATATTAATTTCACAACATCTAAGATTTACAAACAATACATTTAAATTTCTTCAAAAATACTCAGCCAACGAAAGAAACAACCAAACCCACCAACTATGTCCACCACCCGAGGACCGGCAACGAAATAATTTATTTACAAACAAAGCAAGCAAGTAAAACACAATAAGAAAAACCACCAAAGTAATTTTGCACACCTTGATTTGAGTACGCAACCAATAAAGTTTTACCTCAAACGACAGTCGCCTATAGTCTACGTGTATACATAAACATGTGGGATTTGGATCCTCTCCTGAGCTAATGGAGAGGATCCTCCTAACCAATCATCTTGGACTGTCGGATTTTTATCTAACGGCTACAAACAAGAGGTTCCTTTAAAATTATAATAATTATAATCGTTTGATAAAAATCCAATGACCCAAGATGATTGGTCAGAAGGATCCTCTCCATTAGCTCAGGAGAGGATCTAAGTCCAAACATGTGGATGGGGTCAAAGTTAAAGATTGTCAAAAGGATAATATTGATTAGACTATATTCCTCTCATCCTTTACAATAAATATATAAGATTAGGAGGCGGTTTAAAGGGGTGAGTGGACTGAGGTTAGTTTAATGTCCCCTCGGGATGACTTTCCAAGTCATTGGATTGCTTTCCGTTATTCTCCTTCTTCTTCCTTTAGAAATTACTATAGTTTTCCACTTTTGATTAATAGCTAATCATACACTCTCGGTTACCAGTCCAACCCAATCACCTTCTGCCATTGACCGCAACAACAACGGATTTTTAATATATTCGGAACACAAACATATATGTCATATTAATATACAAGTAGATTAATTATTGAAAAAAGAAATATTTCTTTACTTATATAATAACATGGCGTTCTATCTCAGTATTTCGAATACGTTGAAAATTCACCAAACAACAGCAACAACAAAAGTTTCATTAATCTCATTAAGCGTGAAAACTGATCACTGATTGATGATGACTTAATTTCCTAAATTACCAATTATTAATTAACATAAAATAATATATATTTTACTTTGAAGTGAATGTGCCACGCATTCTTTCGATATTAACGTCCAAAATATAATGATAACTTCTAACCCTAATTTCCTAACAGATCATTTGTACACTAGACATTAAGACCAAGATTGTCGTGAATATGACGCAACAACTGCGTGGGAATGACATGTGTAGTCAAAATTATGTGTTCATTCGGGTATGGATGCTAATTATCTGCCAAATGGGTTCAGATTAATTGGCACCATTTTCCGTGTAGAAGTCAATTCTCCGGAGAAGGTAACTATTATTAACACTTCAAAAATGATATATCGAGTATCCACTTTGTTGGCGATTAATTGGGAGGTTTTCATAGTTTTGATATTTTTATGATGAAATCGTCAGATTGTTTTATTTATCTATAGAAGACGGCATAAATTTCATTCAAAGCCAGAAAAAGGCTACTTAGCACAAGGAAATAGCTATTCTCCTCAACAAGATCACAAATTAGAGTAGGAGGTTCTTCTAACCAAGTACAATCACATCCCAAATGGAGAGCAAAACAAGCAAGCCTATGTGCTACAAAGTTTGCTTGGAGGAGGATGTGAGAAGAAGAAGCTTCAGTGACCATATGCAACAAAACTTAGCATTTTCTATGATAGGTCCAATATGAGGTATATTTGTAGAAAGCTCATGTAAAGATGAAGTGATTTGAAGCTTGTCACTCTCCAAGAAAGCTCGTCACATTGTTAGAGCATTTTTAGTGGAGTTCCTATATAGGGACAATCACCGTATAAAATAAGTATAAAACAAATATAGGGACAAAATAAATCTCAAATGGATCGGAAAGTGAGTTCCTAAAGTATAGGGACTCATCGGATACTTGGTGTATGTACCCACACATAGGGACTCTATAGAGACTGAAATAGTGGACATAATAGGACAATTTAAGTGAAAAAGTAGACGTGAGTACCAGTCACTTGACCTTGTCTTTTTTTCTTTTCTTTTCAACTGTTTAAAATGGAGGGTCCAGATTGATTCTTGCTTTTCAAATTTTTTTACCATTGAAAGATCAACCGTTCCAATTAAATAACTGTTTCAATTTAGGTTACTCTCTCATGTTGATTTTCAAATTCTTTTGTTTTCTCTTCTCATAATGCCTCCGTTGAAATATTAATATTTTCAATTTGGGTTACTCTTTCATTTTGTTCTCTCATCATTCCTATAAATACCAAATTATCTAACCAAAACTTATCACAACTTCATCTCCTATACTCAGTTCACTCGTACTCAATTCCCTCATTCTAGTTACGTATTTGTGAAGAAAAAAATTAGTGTCAGAATTTGAATTTTTTTAGTTAAAATGTTCACAAAAATATTTTACGATAATGTAATGTTAACATAAACAAAAAATGTGTACCTAATCAAATTATAGCATAAAATTGTAAAAACCTCAAGTTTGGGGATTCTACTATAAGGACTCTCCCATTGGAGGCAATATTCATTTAGGGACACAAATATTCCCTTTTAAGTCCTTAAATGAGTACTCAAAGATGGTGGTAGGAATCTCTAAATAAGGGTTTCCATCGGAGATGCTCAATTACGAAATGAATGAATGCATCTCGGAGACTAATTTGCACATATATTGGAATTGAGCTTGAACCTTCATAGTGTCTCCACTTTTGAATAAGTAGTTGGATTCAAATTTCAATATGTTGTCTACTACTTCGTCAATGGAAGTTGTGACATCAACGCGGACTAATTTCTCCAATGCCTACCTCCAAACTAAAACGTATGAATTAATTAATGGGTAGGTAAGGTGAGGGTCATGAAGTCAAACAAGTCTCCCATGCTCGAATATTATCTCCAATTGGGTCACACTTATGCTCCATATGAATCCAATCAAGTAGTGACAAATTATTTATAGATTTCTTGTTGATTCGTCAACCCTTTTCCGTTGCAATTCAATTTCTTTTTACAATTTGTGTGTTATTCGTCTTAAACTCGAAGCACGTATAAAGTTAGATCTAGTCAGAAGAATTCGCTCATAGCGGACATTTTTGGAATTTTCTCTTGCGTCATGGTAAATAAATTTTCAAAGCAGGCCTAGCAATCTGTTTTCCCTACTCTCCGGCCCAAATGTCCAAAAATACAATATTGCAATTTGGGCAAAATTAGATAAAAGCGCTCAAATTCTACATCTTATTAATTAAACATTTGTGGGTTTTCAACTTTTTATTAAAATGCATTGTATTTTGATTAAGGTGCTTCCATCTTTATCCATGTCATTTTTTAATTTCCAACTCATCATTTTAAGTAAATTTTAAAGAAAAAAAATGAAAATAAGAGTTATTTATATTGAAATTGATCATATCTAAAATCCCTAAATTCTTGGAAAGAAAATAGGTTTGAAATTTTTGACTGAGTCATTATCCCAATAATTAATTGTTAAGAATTTGATATAGTTAATTTTCAATACAAAGTTTTAATATGAAAAATTATATTTATTAAGGGTCATAACGTACCACTAGATTATACGTACCAAAGTTAAGTTAACACATTGTACCAATACCATGGTACATACTAAAACAAGAATAACATAACGTATCAAAAATAGTAATCTGTAATGTACCAAAATATTAATACGTACCAAAACTAAGATTATATAATGTACCAATTATGTACCAAGTTATTGGTACATTATGTTTAATACATATGTGCATTCATGTATCATGTCCATAATTGGTACGTTATGTTTAATAGAATGTTAGTTGTATTTTTAGAATTTTAATGATATTTTTATTTGAGTAATGAAAAGTGTCGTTTGCAATGAATTATGGGATAATATATCTCCTAGATTTTAGGATTTAGGTGATATTAATTTGTCATTTGATTGGTAAACCAAATATATGTAATTTTTGTTATTAAAAATTAGATAAGAATGTTTGATCAAAAGTCTAAAAATTTTGGATGTTAAATCTAAGAATTTCAAAAATGAGACGCCTATATCAAAACACAATTTGGGAAGAGTAAAGAAAAATGGCACTTGTGATGTGAGTTCGTGACGGTGGCTAACGTGGGCGGGAAGAATCGCTTACTTCGGACGCGGACTGTTTGACGGAACCAAAAGCTGGCAAATTCGGACGCGGTCAAAACCTCCCAGCTGACGTGTTGCCGATCCCATCTCATCTGGTCTGTCATCGCAGGAACCTCCTCTCCCACTCCCCGTCCCCTTCACGCGCTTTCGGCCAAACTTTCACGTATAAAATCCCCATAAACCTCACATCTTCTTCAACACTGCACCCAAAAGAAAACCAGCAGCTTCATTTGGCTCACATACTCACACCACCGCTGCTTCTCATTTTCCAGTCCCATTAATTCCCTCCAAACCAGTTCATATCCTCCAAAACCTTTCACAGAAACCCTAATGGCAAAACTGCTATTACTCCTTCTCCTCGTAGTGTTCGCATCGGTGCTAACTTCTTCAGCATCCGCTAGGCTCTTGAACGGCCACCTTACGCTATTACTAGAAAACCCTTCAGAGTCACAGAAACAGCAAGTGCTGCCATGCCACACAAACGACAGTAATATTCAAGCTTCTGCTGCTGAAACTCCAAGGTTTGGTGCTGCAGCAGCTGCAAAGTATGGACCGCTGATTTTGAATCTTCTTCCCAAAGGAACAAAGCCGCCTTCTGGACCCAGCAAAGGAACCAACGACCTCAACAACTAAACACTTCCAAGTGATACAAATGGAAGAAGATTTGGTTTCTCTGCGTTTCTTGTTCCTTACATTTGTTAGCATCTTATTTTCTTTTCTTTTCTTTTCTTTTCATAGTTTTTTTGCTCTTTCTTAATTTCCAATTAGATATGTAAATACTTGTTACACGAATTATAGATAGCTAGCTAGGGTGATCTGATTGATCTCTTAATTCTTTTGTATCCTTTAGTTTATTCCTGGTTTTGTAGTTGAGTTATATCTAGAATACAATAAATCACATTACACATTACTTATTTTTGTTCTTTTAACTCGTTTGAAAAATGATTTTAAATGATTGAAAGGGTTTTAAAAAAAATGTTTTCGAAATCAATCCTTATTAAAAATGTGAGTTAATCTTCAAGTGCTTTTGGTATCCACAAAACATTTTATCTAAAAGCATTTTCAATTATTTATGCTAACTTAAAACACCCATTTGAGGGGAATTTAATTGTTCTTATCTTTGGTTCTAGTTTAATTTTCTACATTCTTTCGTGAACATTGAAGAACTAATTAAATTTTATTATCGATTATAAAACCGCGTTGTAGGCATGCATAAATAAAAAGGGTTACATGTTGAAACTTCCAAATCAAAGGCATGGTGGACAAAGAATAATCAAGGAAAATAATTAGCAAGTTGGTTGTGAGACTAAAAATTCTAGTTGTTTAATCTTCCCTCCGAACCTAACCATTATATTTTTTGATCATGAGTACTATGTTGATGGGTTGAAATATTCGTCCTAAACTCAAGCATTAAGCAAGGTTTATCCACTAATTATCATATCATGAGTCAAGCATTAAGCGGGTTGGATATTTTGTTTCTTTGATCTTTTTGAAAGAAAATGGCCTCAATTGAAAACAATTAGACTGATAAAAAAATCTTCAAATACAAAGTTCTGAATGAAGTCTAGGGCTTCCTCAAATCATAACAATTTATAATAATTGATAAATCAAATTCGTAACGTGTAACATCATGACTCATGCATGAAAATGTTCCTATTGAGTGTGTACAGCCTCACTGGCTGCGGACCATGATCTATAGCTACAGAACTTGATTGAAAATTTTGGTTGTGAATAGAAACACACATATATAAATAAAAAACTGTAAAGAAGTTGACATTTCTTGTGAAGATGGAGGTCATTCTTTACTTTAAAGATTAAGAAATCAATGTTTGCTGTCCAAATTTGACTTTGAAAGTTGTAGCTGCAGTTCACAAAAAGAAGGACCTTCAAGGGAAACAATGAATATTATATTATTAGTGTTTTCTAATTAGGTTAGTGATGCGATTATAAAGTGGGTTGGTTTTCTAATCAAGATTTTGAAAGATGATGGTGAAAGTGCAGCTGCTTGGCTACCTAACCAACAAAACTGTAAAAACCTACCTGCCAGTCAATTAGTCTATTATTCTTTGGGTTTAGAAAGCTTCGCAAGTAAAGATAATCTCTCTTCCATTGCCACCCTTTGAAGAATTAGCAGAGAAACTCATCAAGTGTCATATGGTCAATTACTCGATATCATCTCCAAATGCCACGTTTGTAAAGTAATTTTATACTTAAGAAAAAGTTCATCTTTTATGTATATGATTCATTATTTTTTATCTACAAAACTGCTAATCGCAATTGACGTATATACATAAATGAATTAGGGTTAATATGGAGTTGATGTGCTTTTATTTAAAATTGTGTTTGTTGTGTTGTGAGAAGAAATAATTGTAAAAAAAAGCATGTAAATATTGGTAAACTACAATGCTAAAAGTGTTTTTAGCAAAAATAAAATAAAATAAATAAAAAATGGAGGTATGATTGTCAATAATAATTGGTATTGTTCATTGTTTTCAATGAAAAAAATAACATTTTTGAGAAGTATGTGCTTATTTTGCTTTACGCTGTTTTGGATTTATGATTTTGAAAAGAATTTTTTATTTTTTATTTACAAACACAATTAAGACCCCAACCTCTTAAAAAAAACTGATTTAAAAAAAAATTAAACAACCATAAACCGTTCCTTATATGAAGTGATGTGGAATTCCACTCAGTGTCCTTGAATTGTAACATGTAACATGTAACAAGCGCTACAAAAAAAGCGAAACAAAACTTCATCCAAACTACAAAGATCAAAGTCATAATTTTTCTATGAATAAATAAAAATTAATTGTTATTGACACTTCAAAAATCTTATTTCGCACTTTAAATTTTTTATAATTAGAAAGAAAAATACATTTGTGAGGAATGTAAAATATTTTTTTTAAAATGTTAATAACAGTTCTCAAATAAAAAGATACATCAATCCAAAAAGAGAGACTATGACTCGTAACATTGGATAATCCTTGTTTAATGCTTGATTCTTGGAACATAATCCAATAATTTAATTTGTAATTAAAAGACCAAAAATTGGCGAGTGCTGACCTGTCATGTGCATAAATTAAGCGGATAAAGGGGGATTTGATATTCCACGTCGGTATTTTCCTTCTTCGTCGAACATTCTCGGTTCCTCCCAATTCACACTCACAGTTTGAAAAGGCCAAAAGAACACAGAAGGAGGAAAAGAACATAGCATTCCTTCAACAATGGCGAAGAGGAGGATCACTCTCTCTCTCTACACTCTGTTTCTCTCTCTGTCGGTGGTTTCCTTGGCAATTGCAGTCAGAGTAACGCCTCTCCTGCAAACCCAGGAGAAACCCAGTTTTCAAAGACCAACATTTAATCGCATTTTTGATACTTCCAAGTATGGCATTTTGCAGCTCAACAACGGCTTGGCTCAAACGCCTCAGATGGGGTTCCTCTCTCGCTTTCTCTCTAACTTGTATTAGAAGTTTGAAGTTTGTTCTTTCTTGGTCTGCTTACTCCTACCCAGCTTTTGGATTGTTTGTATTTGATGGAAAATATAAAATCTTTATGTTAATTGGATTTTTTTTTTGTGGGGTTTTGGAGTTGGGTAGCTGGGAATTTCAGTTTAATTAACTTTCTGGTGGTTTACTTGTTTTTGCATATATGAAATGAAAGTTCACTTCTTGACGTTGTAATTTTTTTTGTTGATACGCATTGTATTGTATGTGGGCAGGTGGAATAGCTGGAATTTCTTTGCTTGCAATATCAATGAAACCGTGATCAAGGAAACCGGTACTCTTTTCGTTGCGATTGATTTTGCTCCGATACCATTTATAGATTATTGGTTGCATTTCCTTATTGCATCAATGTTTGTTTTTGTGCTGGTGTGTATCCGGCACATGGTAAATATATGCTTATACTAATTGGGAAAAAAGACCAACATGATTCGATGATTCGATCGGTTCAATGTATCAACATTTCTTCATCCTCAACCGAGTTTTGCGGAAGTACTGACGTTTATTTTGATGATGGACAGCTGATGCGCTCATCTCAACTGGCCTAGCAGAATTAGGTTATGTGTATGTCAATATAGGTATCGTTTTGGCATGTCTTAAGTATTTGGTAAACTTAAACACTTGCTCGTACTTATGATGTAATGCAATGTCAATGAGTGCAGATGATTGCTGGTCTTCTCCAACACGAAATTCTGAGGTCAGTTGAATTGCATTACCTAAACCAAGATGTATTTCTCCCCGTCTCTATAATTTGTATCAGTAATTGTTGATCTTGTTGTCTGTGGGGAATACTGTCTTTGTCGTATAAGAAGACACTTCGGCATTGAGTTATTTAAGTGCAACTTGTCAAAATCATATCTCAGTACAGTATCTATAAGTTCTTCTGCCCTCTATGAATATATGTGCACAATGGATTGTCATGGCAGGAAGAATATGACTTTTCATATGTAGGTTCTTTGCATGGAAAAGCATATACTTGTAAAACTGTGAATTTGATGTATGCTAAAATTTTGAACTCCGTACTGTTCTTGTTTCAGGGTCAATTGGTCCCTGAACCTAAAACATTTCCATCGGGAATTAAAGCTCTTGCTGATTATATACATGGAAAAGGACTCAAGCTTGGAATTTATTCTGATGCTGGGTAGGATGAATGAAACTCTTATGTATTTTTATTCGAATATCAAGTGCTATACTCAGTACAATTTCCTGGCTACTCATCACCAATTCTATTTTGTAGGGTTTTTACATGTCAAGTTCGACCAGGATCACTTTATCATGAAAGTGCGGATGCAAAGCTATTTGCTTCTTGGGTCAGTTTCTGTTTCCTCTATTCAATTTTTGTTGAATGTGTATATCTTTGGTTTGGCATCCATTCAACACCCTTGGACACTGTTTCCGCATTTTATATTGCTTGTGTAAGTGAAAGACTGAAATTCATGTAGAACAGATTGACCTCCATGCAAATACTGTGCTCATTTCTACTAAATTTAAAGCCGTATATTTTGATTACTCTCAATGTTAATAGACTTTAATCGATGTTTGCAAAAAAGTGGCGTTGCTTAAATATTTGACAGTGTCACAATGTATAACCTATTCCCCTTATCTCCACTTCTAAATAAACAATTTGTCTGTAATCTAAACTTGGGAGGCATGGGTTCGTTGATAATTAGTAAGTTGTATTTTCAGGATGTGGATTATTTGAAGTATGACAACTGTTATAACCTGGGGATCCCACCAAAAGAACGGTATTGGCTCTTCTTACTCTCGATTTTAATGGCGAGGGAATTGGATTTAGCTATAAATTGATTTGATGTGGTTTCATACATTCCAGATACCCACCAATGCGTGAGGCCCTAAATGCATCTGGGCGCACAATTTTCTATTCGCTTTGTGAATGGTAATCCAGTTTATTGATCTGTGTTATAGTATTTGGATTAGTTAAGTTTATGGAAATCCTGATTCATAAATTCTTTATTTGACAGGGGTGTTGACGACCCTGCTTTGTGGGCTGGAAAGGTTGGAAATAGTTGGCGTACTACAGATGACATTAATGATACTTGGGCGAGGTTATAACTCTTTACCCATTAACAAGGACAGTAACTTCACAGTGTCGGGGGTTATATCATAGTTCTACTTGTGCACACTGAAACCATAATTTGTACTGTACCATCAGAACTGGTTTGTGGTATATGCTTTCACCTTAGAGGACCCTTAAAAGTGCTTCTTAACTTCCAAGTTGATGGTGCTCATATATGCATTTGTCTCAGTAATTGTACAAGAATGTCTCACATTTGTTGTCTATCATTGTTTCTGGCTGTTATTATTTGGCTGCAAGGTCTTATATACATGATCCTGTAGTTTTACTGTTAAATTGTTGATAAAATCGTCAGTGGTCATACTGATTAAGTTGGCTGTTCTTCTGTTGTTAAGCATGACAACAATTGCTGATTTGAATGACAAGTGGGCAGCGTATGCAGGACCTGGTGGATGGAATGGTATAACACGAGCTTTTTGAAACATATTTTTCAAGCCATCAAAGATTTAATTTTCATACTCCATCTTTTTCTTTTGGGCAGATCCGGATATGTTGGAAGTTGGCAATGGAGGCATGACTTACAAGGAGTACCGTGCTCATTTTAGCATCTGGGCTTTGATGAAGGTGCTTCAACTTTTGCTCCTTTCTTCCTCGTTTGCATATTGATCCCATAATTCAGATTGAACTTTCATTCATAGTCTTGTAGAGTTGTGTCAAAAACGAATCTTATATGTGAACGAATTAGTTTAATTGTAGCTTGCACAAGGGGCATCATAAGACATGTTGCATATGAACGGTTTTGTCCTTGGCTCGTTTTCATTTACTTTCTAGTTCTTCACATACTGATAACTGGGCGTTCGGATATCCAGGCCCCTCTTTTGATTGGTTGTGATGTAAGAAACATGACTGCAGAAACATTTGAGATTCTAAGCAATGCGGAGATTATTGCTGTAAACCAAGGTGAGAATTGGTGCTAATTGGTTGAAAGTATAATTTTTCCATATCCGCCTTTTCAACTATGAAGTTTCGAAACTAAGAGAGGAATGTTTTTGTTCTTGCAGATCCACTTGGGGTTCAGGGAAGGAAAGTTTATGTTTCTGGAACAGATGGTTGCTATCAGGTTTTCGCCTTTCTTGTGCTGTACAAAGTCGCAATGATTGCTTAGTCGAAAGATAGATAAAATTAGTATGTCTGCGATCAATTCAGTGCCTATGGTACGCTGGCAGAATATCAACTGTTTGGTGATGATTATGTTTTCCAGGTTTGGGCAGGTCCTCTATCAGGAGATCGGTTGACTGTTGCTCTCTGGAATCGGTGCTCGAAATCAGAGACTATAACAGCTACTTGGGAAGTACTTGGACTTGAATCCGGCATCAGTGTCTCAGTGAGAGATTTGTGGCAGGTGAGGAAACTGACCTCTACGACTTCTAATTTGTTTCATTTTCTTTTTCCTTGTATGAACTTATTTGTTTTATGCTTATATGGTATCCAAATATTTTGCAGCACAAAGAGGTAGCGGTAGACGCGGTGTCGTCATTTGGTGCTCAGGTCGATGCTCACGACTGCCGGATGTACATTTTTACTCCTCGGACCGGCTCGCTCAGATATGTAGCTTAGCCGTAAAATTGTTCCGAAAAAGGCGCTGTCCACCGTTGTCTGCAAGAGTTCATGGCTGTAATCTTCGGGTTTTGCAGAACTTGGCGACGATCTAAGCGCCAATCTGTAATGTATATTGCTCACGTAAAAGTATCATATTTCAGTGTGTATATGATCACGTTCTCATTCGGAACCATCAGCTGTTGAAACAATGAGAAGGATTTTATAAACCCTAACTGCGAAAGTATGTATTGACACCAAATGGAAAACTCCAACATTCATACACAAGTTCAAGGAGCGAAATCGGAAACTCAACTGGAAACGCATAAAACGAAATTGATGTCTCAATGCTTTTGTTTTTAAGTTGAAATGCAATATTCTAAATTACTCTAATTAACGCCAATAGGATTTGAGATTGGATGCAAGGGGGGCAGATACATTGCGCTGGCCAACCAACCTAATCCACATTTGCCGCCTCGGTGCCTCCGTCAAGCCAAGGGGGGAAAGTCGTTATCATTGTCTAGCTTGAACTTGTTCAAGCAAACCCTGCAGGGTTAAACCATTTACAAGGGTAAATCAGGTGCTATCTTAAATATGGCAAGAAATTCTAAAGGGATGTAAATGGCCTTACGTCGCTTCGTTAACTCTGACAGTTCTTGTTGCTTCTGCATTCCCATCGCAGGGACCCCAGGTATAAAGTTCTGAGCATATGAAGCACTAGTATTTACCTGTGGGCTTGCTACAGGTGAAGGCATTTCCGGTAGTGACAGTGAATGCTCAGAATTCCCCAACTTAGACTTCCCGGAAGTGTGAGAGGATTCTTTGGCTGGAGGAGACGCCAATTCGGGCTGAGCAGATTGGTGTACTTCTGACAATGAGGGTAGTTGAGTGCCGGGAAGCAGTGGGAATTCTTCAGGTGAAAAATTAAACTGGTGAGCATTTTCACTCGGGCCTACTTCTGTGGAAACCTCAACTTGGTTCGTCTTTCGAGGTGATTTCATCCTCAGTTCTTTGGCTGGAGGAGACGCCAATTCAGGCTGAGCAGATTGATGTACTTCTGACAGTGAGGGTATTTGAATGCCGGGAAGCTGTGGGAATTCTTCAGGTGAAAAATTAAACTGGTGAACATTTTCACTCGGGCCTGCTTCTGTGAAAACCTCAACTTGGTTTGTCTTTCGAGGTGATTTCATCCTCAGACCGCAATTGCTAGACTCCGGAATCATTCTCCTCGCTCTTGGAGGCACATTTGTGGAATCATTTTGATTTTGCAGTGCCTGAAGCATTTGGGATGAGAAAGCCAGTCAGTCAGTCATCTTTCACAGTCCAAAGTTGAAACCAAAGAGGAAGAAGAAATCAGCAGTATCGAAAACTTAATTTTGAATAAAGAAAAGTTGAATTCGATATACCAGGTTAGGTATATATGTGCCTGTTCCGTGTGATTTCTTTATCACCCCAACACCAAAAGTAGCAGCAGATTGGTATGCGTTTTCTGCCATTTGAAAAATGACATTCCCATATAGTTGAGCCATATAAACCAGGGAATTCCATTTGCTCATATCATCGTCTACAAAAGGTGGAGCACCGTTGTGTGTATTAAAAAACTGATATGCATTTGCAAACAACATGCTATCACAATGTTTGTCGTAGTCCCCAGTAAGGTCAGATTCTACAGATGTTCCAGTACCAAATGCAGGGACAGGAGTTGTCAGATCTGCCCTTTCTCCACGCCCATTCCTATCTAGAGTGGTCACAAAGAAGTTCTCAAGTGCCATGCCTATGCGTTCACCCGGTAGCATTAATACCTCTCTAAGTGTTTGAGCCCCAAGGGAAAAAGCAGATCTTATACGATAGAAATTTCCTGGAGAAGACAGGTAGTTCAACATTCAGCTAACTAGAAGACAGAACCGGTAAGAACAAGATATACGCTAGAATGGAAAGTATGCAATTTGAATAAGAGATTCTTAATAAAGCGCAATCTATATGGATTAAAGATTATTGAAAAGATACCAAATTTATGCGTTTATAAAACATACCTTGTTAAGAAAACATCTTAAATACAAGATTGTCACGTTAATTATGACGGAGGGATATATGGCAAATATAGTCATCTCAAAAAGAGTGAAATAAAACTGATCTAGCAGTTAAAGTGGTCGAATACCTTTACTAACACTACGGCCTAGATTGTTGTTGTCCTTTAGAGGATCCACTATGTTGAGGAACTTAATTGGGAATTCATCAACACTATCTGCCTCTGCCGCTGCTGGATCTGGAAACGCCAGCCTGCACTCTCTTACAAACTCCTCACTCAGGAGAAATTCTTCCCCCTCGTTTTGGGGTGTCACTGTAGCAAATAATACAGATAAAAGATTCTAGTCAAATTAGTAAACAGATCAGTTACACATTCACATATATGAGCATAAATTACCTATGATTTCAGGAAGGGAAGCTAAGGCAACTGGACCATTTATACTGAGAGCATAATTTTCCCAATCAAATGTGCTATAGAATTCCAAAAATATAAGCAGGACCTGTTCACACAATTTCAAAGTCGTATTTGAGCACTTACACATGCAAATGTGACCGCTGAACTGAAGAAACAAAACAAAAGAAATACCTCTAAAGGACCATGGAGCGATGAATGAAAGCGATTGACGATAAACAACACCAACGTTTCCAGTCCATATGCTGCAATCAGGCCATAATGGGCCCCAAGAATTCGACTCTCATAGTAGCACCAAGCTTTGATTAAGATAATACTCTTTTTGAAAAGATGGTCTTTTCCGAACAGTCGATCAACCTGAATAAAGCACCAGGCATGCCAGTTGAAGAGGAGAGTTACAAGCATTAGAATTTTGAAATGAGAGAGAGTGTGTGTGTGTTTACGTGTTAATTTTTGTTAATATTAAGTATTGCCAAGTGTAGATTTTAAGTTTCGTTGGTTTACAACTACAAAAATTTTAAGCTGGAAGGATTCAAACTCAAGATCTTCGACTCATGTTAAATTGTTTGTTGGTTTACCAATGTCCCAAAAAAATTAAGATGTTTGAATGTGGAACAAGAATTATTATGTGAATGAAGAGCTCGAAATGACAACAACAACAACAACAACAAAGCCTTTTCCCACTAAGTGGGGTCGAAATGACAAAAATAAAAAAATAAAAAATCTGACTACATTTACCGAACCATCAAAACATTGTCTATTTATGCGAACAAAGAGCTAAGCAAAGATAGCAACAAAAAATGGGGATAAACCAATTTCAAACCTGCCAACAGATCAGAAAAGAAAGTTGAAAGCATGTAACGTATACAGAAGATTTCAATTGTAATTCAGTGCAAAAATTATAAGTGCAGCTAAGTTTATATTTGCAAAAATGGTACAAAATTAACAAAGCTTTTACGAAAAAATTCAAGCTAGCTGAAGGACAGCTTATAAGAATGTTGGTTACTTCTCTTAGCTACTTATCATTAAAGAGGAAAAACTATAGCTTCATATTATGTAAGGGTTAAGATTTTAACCTGCTCCAGAAAGCACAGTGTGCTGAGACCGGCAGTCTGGTTGAAGGAGATGTCGATTGCCATGTTATTCACAATGCATTTTACTACCTTAACCTACCACCCAAAATTCCAACAAGAACACTATGAAAAAAGTACAGTGGATCCCTCCTTTTAAAGTTAAGAAACGATAATACTTCCCTTATGCAACATGATTGATTTATTAAAAAAAAAAAAAAAAAAGCCAACCGAGGCAGTGAAAATGCTTCCCTTAAATTACAAAAAAAGCATTAAAATAATTTGTCTACCAAACCAATAAAAATTTCACACAAAACAGCAGCAACCGAAAACAAAATTTCAGATAAAAAATAAATTCAAACAGTTTAGGCTTAGCAATAGTTTGAGGACAGAAGAAATAAGTCCAAGAGAAGGTGACATTGAGCAAAGTCGGAAAGTAGGATAGAGGATATCAAGGAGGAGAAGAGGAACAAGAGGTGGAGCAATGGACTTTTGATCTCAATTCTTAGGTCTGAATCTTGAGGTTGTGATGTATACCATCTTTGCCGATTTCTGGTTTTCCCTGTGCACATCCCCTGATCATCCCCCATCTTTCTATTTGAGTGATCTATTTTCCTGGAATGTACTAAATCAACTGGTTCACACAATTTTCTTATAAATGGAAAATAATTATATCACAATTAGCATGCAGTCCATGCGTTTCCAAACTTGTTCACCCTTTCCATATCAGAACTGAAACATTAATGGTTCAGGTTCCTCAGCACGAAATTGACTTATTGTTGAAGTTCTCACAACCTAATAAGAATTTCAACATGGAGATTACATCATGCTCTGGAAATGACACGCAAACTCTAACATAAAATACCCGTCCTACGCGGTCAAGTGGGTCTACATGAAACTATGAAAATGACCTTAGTTAAAAATGGATAGTTTTTTGAGTCATCAGGAAGGACTATCAGACAGTGGGAGCAGACCAATCATGAGAACAAGGCACAAGCCGTATACAATGAAAATAAACTAAAGCTGTCCTTTAAGTGCCAAACAGGTGTTAGGCATGCACACATATGAGTGCTTTTACAGGTGTAGCCATGGTTGATGCGGAACCAGGGTGTGAGGATTGATTGAGTAGATATTTCTTCATTTTATCAAACACTTTTGGCAATCACTACATGTCAAGGTGGAGAAAAATCCTACATAACGAAGGCCAGGAGTCACTCTGAGAGTACCGAGAGCAATCGGGGTCTAGGGTACTAATGTTGGTCTAATTTCGAGATAAGGGGATAGAATGATGCCCTCATGCTTAGCACTATAATGAGAAGAAAAGAAAGAACTGACAGACTAATAGCTTTTGGATATTTTCATTTGAGAAAGTAAAAGGGTAACTAGTCCTTTACGTGAATAACTAAAATAACAGACAAACAAGAATGAGGGAGGAAAATACTAAAAAGGATACGTGTAATATATAAACAAAAATATAGTAAACATGCAGATCAATTATTGGAAAGGGTAAAAGGATCTAAGAGATCTCAACCTGTGCGCGGACGTAGCAGACGTCTTTAATTTGGAACTTGGAGTCCTGTGGTTGGTGATCCTCGAGGATCGCACAGATTTTTAGAGCAAGCATATCTACCAAGTTTGGAAGGCAGAGAGCAGTCAAATCAATATCTCCATCAGGAAGATAGGTCTTCAATGGTACTGAGCCAAAGGAGAAGACCTGTAACGCAAGCTGTTCGACAAGCCCGCATAAATTTAGGGATACTAAAATAGCAGCATATAATAATTGTAATGAATCAATCATAGACTTCCCCCAGCAGAGTTTTCTTATTGCAAGTAGTAGTTAGAAGTTACAAATAGGAATGCCGATCTCTCAATTATATTAATTTTAGGTACACAAAATGAAACACGTGGAATTCAAATGAGTGACAAACAGATTCCAATATGAATGGCCACATAGTTATATATTGATCAAAAAATAAAGCAGAGGAAAACCATAAAAGCATATCCAACACTTCCATGCCAAACCCTAAAAGCATATCCAGCACAAACAATTAATGTACTGGATGCCTAATGTTACGGAAGCTGCATAAATAAGTTCTCTGAAGATAGGTCAGATATTCACAGAACTAGGACCTAAGAAGACAACTTGTAATAAAACTGAAACACAAAACCCTCCAAGATGACGTTGAAAGCGGGACATAAAAAGCTCTATGACGGTAGGTCATGTGGCAGTGGCGTCGGAAGACAAAATCTAAGGAATGACTCTGTACTCTTATAGTAACAGATAAGAAATACCAAATTCTTTATCCAGACATGCTACAATGTCAAATAGTTACTTCATGTTGATGCTTAGAGCTTTAGTTGGCTTTGTTTGGCTGTAACGACAAACCACACTTCCATACGTGTAGCGCAGCACTTTCCGCGCAAATCGGACATCAAATAAATTATCTAGGTATGATGACTATACTTACATAACCCAACTGATAAAGGTAGCAAAGGGAATGTTTCGAAATGCTAGGGAGGGTACACGCAAATAAATCCACGCCCTTTTACAGACTTTAATTTTACAAACATTCTTCCATCTTAAAACATTGAGAATTACCAATTTAGCCAACATACAGAGGTAATCAAGGTAAACTAAATTATGAAGCAGACTTATAGCAATGTGATGAAGTACAATTTTAATTCCATACAAACAGACTTCAAAGAAGCATGGATTGCAGTTATAAAAAATAAAATAAAATAAACGAAATAAAATAAAAAATCTACCATTGCTGATCTCTCTTCGCTCCAAGAAGCAAAAATAGAGAGAAGAAAAATAGGGAGCTGGGGAACTTCTCACCTCAGTTGCAAGACGACCTACAAGAAGCCTCTGAACATAATCAGCAAACATCTTCCTTCTCAACTCAGATTCAACATTTGATTGAATAGTCCACAAAATCTCTTGGGTCCTTTCTTCCAGTAAGGACCATACCTCTGCATCCATCGACCTCGACAAGGTCTTAGGAGAGGAGGAAGAAGATTGAAAATAGGGGGAATATGATAACCTTACTTGACAATCTTCCATAAATGTAAGGCTAAATATAAAAGTTGAGAATTTCAACTCTTCAAAAGGTGAGACTTTCAACTCTTCAAAAATGCAACCTAGTAAACCCACACAAACACTTCCCCAGTGATGATTTCAACAAGTGAATGTCTACACGATTTTAGAAACCTGCAAAACTAAGAATTTTAAAATAAAAAATTGGTGGAGGGTTAGGAATGAGATGGGTTCGTAAACAAAATCATGAGAATAGAGAGAGAAGGATAGACCGGGGCACCTTGAGCAGATGAGTAGCAATGGAAATAGCACACAGATCAGTAGAGCTTATCCAGGATGTGTATTCAGCAGAAGGAGAGAAAAAACAGCTAATTAGATGCTTGAAACTTTATGCAGAGTTTGTCCATATCTGTTACACCCTTGGACTCCATATTTAAAGTCCTTGTAAATGCTGAAGATTATGTATTTTGGGGCTATTTTGACATGTGTGCTATGAGGATAGGAGAAAAGAAATCGTGAAATAACTGATGAAAAACAGAAAAGATTCCGAAGTCCTTTAGGGAAATTATCTGAAGAAACTCTACAAGCATGAAAAGATTTAGAAGAAAAGGACAGAACTCAGAAGTGATATAAACAGTCAAAGAATGGAAAACACTCCTTTTATGAGGAAGCTCCAAGCTCCAAGGCCAACTTAGAAGCAAAAGAGCAGAAGAGAAGCAAAATGATGAAAGGCAAGGAACTCTTGCCGCGAAAACATCTTGCCGCCAAGGGACTCAAATACAATCCAATGGAACGGTCTTAATCAAGGATTACTACCATATAAAAGTTTAGTCTCACTTTTCTCAAATTTTCAGTTTTCTGAAGACTGGATTCTTCTCCATTAATGAGGTAACAAACAAAGATAACTGTAATTGGGTTAAGAATGTAAATTTCTGTGGCTTGCATATATGGTACTCAGCTGTTTCTCACTTTTACCTCTCCAAGTTTTCTACTTAAACCCCCAAATGCATGACCCTCATTAATATCAAATCCTATTTTTCTCCTTCCTGAGTAAAATATTAATTGCACTGGATGCAAAGAGATTTAGAATTTGTTGTCATACCAAATACTTGTCTTCCTACCAAAAACGTCAGTTTAACCTAGGGGCACTCATTAGGCCCACAATCGCCTATGCTACATTGACCACACCCAGTTGCTCCAGCTCAAGTGTGTGCAGGCATCTCTACATTTCTCCTTTAATTCGGGCTCATGACCAGAAAAATTTAGCGAACGTCTCCCCCCCCCCCCCCCCCCAACGGGCCCTACAACAAAGTTGGTGGGCCTTCCACATTGTTATTTGATCCCGCTGCAATGTATCTAAATTAACCCATGACTAGGCAAGTCAAGTTGGCCTGAAAATCATCTTAGATTAACTTCGGAGAGCACAGGTGTGAGAAAACAATACAGGTACGTCAGTTATATAAGAAAAACTACGATTGTTGGACATGTACCTGCCAAAAGAAGATGAACAAATGAATTTTCTAGACACCCTAATGTACTACAAAACTGTAAAGCACAACTAGGGTAGTGATATCCAACAAAATAAATTCCTTGTTGGCTGGTGAGCTCTATAACGTACTTAACAATCCTGTCTTGGCTGTAAAGAACAGAAACAGCTCAATTTGGACTTCAATTGTCTTTTCAAACATCCTTTGACCCAAGCTAAAAAAGATTGCACTGAAAATGATTAAAGGCTCCAAAAGGACTTAAAATCACCTGGATATTATGCTTTTAGACAACTCATGCTAAGATCACTCCCATTTTCTCTTATTTACTGATAAGTTGATTTTCAGAGTCGTTGGGATGAAATGGATTTTCTTATAATTTTTGTCTTTTGATAGGTTACGAAACAATAAATCATTTCCAAAATCAGGTGAGACTTAAGGCTAATAGAGAATTCCACTTATCATATAGATCTCTCCTGTAATGTATCCATGAAGCTTAACCAGGCCCTATGGTCTAACGTTTGCCAACAAATCTCTTAAGCTATAGACCACTCCCACTCTTGCACTTCATGGTTTCCAGACTTAAAAGGTGGCCTTTACATTATAGGTTAATATGCAGAGTGAGAGTTAATACTTCATGCACCTCACACCCACGTGGCATTTCGCCAACAAGTTTCCATTTTCGGCTGACTATTATTTAGGAATAATATGCAATGATGCTAACTACGATTGAAAAACTTAATACACTAGGTCTCCCATTAGGTCAGTGATTAAAAAAACAAACTTTTGAGATTTGATTTAAGATTTTGAACTTAGGATTTTACTGAAGCTTAGCCACTTCCTTTTATTGTCCCCTCTCATTTCTATTTCTCGTTCTCTTTTGTCGGTTCTCCATCACAAACTTTTATCTTGGAAAGAAAAAACCACATTCAAAATTCAATTTAAGGGTTCGGTGTAATTCTCTCAAATTAGCAACATGTCTGTGATTTCCCTATTTGGGAAGACGAGAAACATTACGATGTTTTGAGTAACAACTAAACTAGGAAAGCCGCCTACCGAAAAACAAAGGAAACCAACACAACTAAATCTACTATTATGGTGTCTTACAGACACATTAATCTATCATTAACTTGCTTATTGCAAAACCAGCTAGAAGCACTTTTCCAAACAGAACAGTCGCAATATTTCGAAAAAACAATCCAATCTTTCACAATATTCAAAAACTACAAGTGAAATTCTCCAAAACCCAGCTAAATATTTCAACAAACAACCAAATGGGGAAAGCATTCACTGCGAACGAAAACAGCATTAAAGTTCGGAGATTTTTACCTTTCATGGCGGTTTATTCCTTCTCCTACGCTTCATCTTCCTCTTTTGTCCAAAGGCCACTTCTCCGTGGGACCCACCCAACTCAAGCAAGCTTACCCACGCCATCTTCTTCGCTGGTCAAAACTCTAATTTGCAGACCCCCAAAAGCAAAAACCCAGCAAAGAGAAGAAAATGTTCGCAAGAGTGAAGGTGCTCCTCCAATGGCAGTATAATTTCGACGGTGCGGTGGGGCCCACTAACCCAAGCACACGGGACTCCCCAGCTGACGTGGCACAACCCTAGATCAACCATCGAATCTGAGCCGTCGATTGAAACAGGTGTGCAGTGAATAAACCCACATTATTAAAACCCGCCAAAATTAGACCCAAATCCAACCCACCTACTTCCCGCCATGATAACCCTAAATTCGCCGTCGCAACCCAATATTCAAACTTCAATTCAAAGACAACTCTCGATTCCGATTGCGAATCGGAGTTCCAGACTGAGAGGGGTCTTAAATTCGACGACGGCGGACCTTCTTCCGCCACGAAAGCGCCACCGGCCGCGACCTCGGCGTGCTCACTGCCGCGCTGTACAAGAAGTCCAAGGGAAAATTGCGAGTTCTCGCTGCACTGTGCGGCTGCGGCATTCGGTCCGTCCGGTACCTCGTCGAGGCGGAGGCCGATTTTGTTTTTGCAAATGACGCGAATGATGAGAACAGGAAAGTTATCACGGAGAACTTGTCGCAGGTAGAGAGTGGTTCTGGGGACGAGGCGAGATGGGCGGTGTCGCTTACGGATGCAAATCGGGTCATGACGGAGTGTTATCTGAAAAGGGATTTCTTTGATTTGATTGATATTGATTCGTTTGGGAGTGTTTCGTCGTTTTTGAGGTCGTCGTTTAATGCTTTGAAGCTGAATGGTTTGCTGTATGTTACTTCGACTGATGGGTTATGGTCCGACGGTCACCGGCCTCAACAGTGAGTGTCAAATCTGATATCAAGCAAAATGGTTGTTTCAATTGTCCATGATTCCTTTAAAGTTTGATGCTTTATACAATAATTTTTCATTTCTTGACCAATTGATATTGCAGCACTACTTGCATTTCGCATTGATGGGTTCGAATTCGGTATCGTAATCAAATGTAGTTCTACAGTTGAATGAAAAGTTTAAAACTTTACGCATTGAAGGATTTATTGGTTTGTTGCAGACAATTCTGATATGTTTTTCTCTTGTTTACAGAACTTTAGCTGCATATGGAGCTTATGTTCAGCCGATGCCATACTTGAATGAGCTCGGCTTACGAATGCTTATCGGAGGAGCCGTGCGGGAAGCTTCTGTGCTGGGATATCGAGTGACTCCATTGTTTTCATACTATTCATATCATGGACCTATTTTCAGAGTAATGCTCCAAGTCAATCGTGGAAAGCTTCCGGATAACAAGTAAAGGGGTTGTATGATTTTGTATGTTCCTGAAAGCTGTGTGATTTTGTAGGGCTCTTGTGTTGGTGCTGATCAATTGTTGTACATAGTCCGACAGACATTATGGTTTCATCGGTTACTGCAACAGCTGTGGAAGTTGTAAAGAGTACTCATGGGTTGAACTTGGTCGGATCAGTTGCCCCTGCAGTGACTCAAAGGTGTTTGGAGATGTTTGGTCGTATGATTTCATTTTTTTTTACTTCCTAAGTTTTTGTTCTTTCTTTTCACTAAGAAAGATTAATCTTGAACCCTTGTTTTGGTCTGAATTATGATTCAATTGTAGCTTTGGTTTTTGAACTACAGTCACGAAAAGAATTCCGGCCAAAATTAAGCATGTGAATCCCTTTTAAGGAGTAAGTTGAGGAATAGGGCATGTGCCTCTTTACATACATATCTGTCACGTGCTTAAGTTTGGAGGAAATATTCATGGACTGGCATCAAGAACTAATAGTTCACATTTTATCAAATTTCGATACCAATTTCAATATGTTTTTTTGTTTAACGACTAAAGTTATAATTCGGTCATAGGTTAAGGATCAATGTTCCAAATTTACTCTAAATCTTAAATGAAGGCTTGTTTCGGTGTTTTCTAGGTTTCCAAGGCACTAGTTGTTTCTGGCCCTCTCTGGACAGGGCCCTTGCATGACACTGCTTACATTACAGAAATGTTAAGTTTGGCCGAGGAGTGGGGATGGGCAGGCAGTGTAACAGGAACTGATTTGGACAAACTTTTGAACCAAATGGTGGCAGAGAGTGATCCAAAATTACCCTTTGGCTACATCAAGTTGGACGAGGTTCTCCCTCAGTCAAAAACTTTTTACCACTCTTATTTTGTTCCAAGAAGTCATTAATCTGGTGAAAAATGATGGGTTTTCTGTTTTTACCATATCAGGTGGCAAGCCGCGCGAAAGTAAATTCTCCGACGCTGAGAGCCGTGGTGTCCACCCTTCAAGAGGTAATTTTCACTACTCACTTTGGCATGTGAGTGCATGTTTTCCACTTGGAGTTTTAGGAGCTGTTGGGTATCAGTGCACGATGGACACTTGTTGGGTATGGTTTTGCATGTTTGCCAATTGTAGGGAGAGAAACTTGGGTAAGACCGTCTGGTCAGTTACAAATGCATGTTGGACACTCGTTAAGTTTGATTTGTAGTGCATGGTGGGTGGACACTTGTTGGTTATGGTTTTGCATGTTTGCCAATTGGACGGAGAGAAACTTGAGTGAGACAGCCTAGTCAGTTACAAATGCATGTTGGACACTTGTTGGGTATGATTTTGCATGTTTGGCATTTGGAAAGAGAAAAACTTGGATAGGGCAGTTATAAGTGCAAGTGCACGCTCGACACTTTTGGGTATTAGTTACATGTTTGACAGCATGCATGAAGGGCGAGATTGTGTGCATCAAGAGTTGTACCTATTTAGAGTCGAATAAAAACGTTTTGTCCCAGAATTATGCGAGGCCCAATTGAGCAAAGTCTCAATGGCATTGAGTTTAGCAGGCTGTTGGTGTGAGTTGTTATTGGACGGCAGGGAAGGCTGCTGGGTTTGAGTGTTGCTGGACCTTTTCGAGTCCTGACGTTTTTTTTGTTCGACCATATATCTTACGCTGGGTTTCCTGCAGGAGGGATATGCTGTGAGTCGGTCACACATTGAATCCAATGCAATCAAGACGAACTGTCCAATGGAAGACTGCGTTAGAATTGTCGAGCAACTTCATCAGCGCTGAATGAGAAGATGAGTTTCCAGACGCATCGCACTTCCACTAGTGTCGAGACTCGAGGGCACCGCTCAGCCCTGAGACGGATCAAAGAAAAGCAGGGAGCTCTCGTTGGGCCAGTTAAGCATCGTCTAATTTTGTTGTGTGCGAGCAACTCCCGGAGGTGGTATTGCTCAATGAGAGAAGAAAATGCCGTTGCGCTCTGCTCAGGCTAGAATGCAGGCTCACTTTGATAACTTATGTAACATATTAAGAGGGCTATATAGCCAAAATAGTCCCTGAGATTTGTATAACTCATCACTTTGGTCCCTAACATTTCAAATCGATAAAAGTGGTCTCTAAGATTGTTTACCATCCATCATTTTGGTTCTTCTATTAAAAAATTCGTTGAGTGTCCTGGAGCTCTTGGCCGGAAGTTTAGGCAATTTTCAAAACTTCGTAAATCAATTGTTTCTTAACCAAATTCGACCAATAATATATCAAAATAAAGATAGGAAAGTGTAGAATAAGATTATACCTATTTGGAAGCCCAATGGATGCCGGAGATGGTCAGAAATTAGCCTCAAAGTTGACTGGTCTGAGAAAAAATTAGAAAACTCGTCGGAAACTGGGTAAACTTTAAACATTCATAACTTTTTCAATACTCAACAAAATCAAGTGATTCGAAAACGAAAATCATACTTCTCGATGAGACGAAAAGAATGGTACCTTTGTAGATGGCTAAATCGCCGTGGTTTGGCCGAAAAACGGCTCGAAAGTGGCTAACTCGAGACTAAGACAGCCACTCTCGAGCCGTTTTCCAGCCAAACCATGGCGAGTTAGCCGTAAAAAAAGGTACCATTCTCTTCGTCTCGTTGAGAAGTATGAATTTCGTTTTTGAATCACTTGATTTCGTTGAGTATTGAAGAAGTTATGAACGTTTAAAGTTTACCCAATTTTCGGCTCGTTTTCCAGTTTTCCTTCGGACCAGTCAACTTTGAGGCTATTTTCCGACTATCTCCGGCAGCAATTGTGCTTCCAAATAGGAATAATCTTATTCTACACTTTCCTATCTTGATTTTGATATATTATGGGTCGAATTTGGTTAAAAAACGATTGAGTTACGAAGCTTTGAAAATTGTTCAAACTTCAGGCCAAAAACTCCAGGACACTTTAACAGAGTTTTTAACGGAAAGACCAAAATGATGGCTAGTGGACAATCTCAGGGACCACTTTTATCGATTTGAAATGTTACGGACCAAAGTGATGAGTTATGCAAATCTTAAAGATCATTTTGACTATTTAGCCTATTAAGAGTCTGAAAGCTTTAAACTTCGTTTCTCTGAGCATGAAACAAATGGTTTCGACACTTTTCAGTAGTCGAGAACTCATTGCAAGGTTAATGATTTCGACACTTTCCAGTAGTCGTGAACTCATGACAACATTGCAAGGTTCCATATAGAGCAATGGTCTAACAAACACCGATCGTAAATTAAGAACAAATTGTTACATGTGAGAATCGGTTTGTTGGGGAGAATGACTACTCCAAAGTCATATCAATGTAATCGAAAACTTGTAAGCAACGATTTTGCATTACCGTATAAACCTGCGATTGTAGAACTAACCATAAACAAAAATGGAATATAACCCTACTTAAAAGGTGCAACGGGATTCAAAATTGGGCATTATGTCATCCAAGATTTCATTATCATAAAAAAAAACATCCATAAACATTGTAGTTTAATCCTCAAAACGTCTGAACAATAACACGAGAATAACAAAAAAGTCCTACACAACTCAGTCCAGAAGATTGTGTAGCTACTGGGAAACCTCCATCACATAACGAAAGGATTGACATGCTCAAATCAAGTACGAGCAGGAACCCCAGCTCCAGCGGGTCGGGGAGCTTGACCAGGCTGGCCGGGCCTTGGGGCATCATCCTGAAAATCCAAATATAAGAATATCAGGTGAACTAGAATAACGTATCAATACTGTAAGCATCGGCCATTAGCCTCCATAGACATTGAGCTAACATGTACATGCCAAGCACGAACCAAAAGCATGCAAGGAACTTGAAATGCCAAGCAACACAGAATATGAAATAGGCAGCCACATAAAACAAATATATGACAAAACCCATGCTGCTAAGAAAGCCTTATAATCAGTTGCGGAAAAGCATATTGAAGTATACTAACACTACAGCCATGAACATACAGTTTCGAACCAGCCAACGGAGATGGAAGGGTTCCCCAAAAACTTGAGGAGATAAACCTAAATACTACATGATTAAATTATTTCTAGTAACACCACAAATCTAACAGGGGTTAAAGTTCTGGCCTTGACGAAATTAAAATAATTTTCAATCATTCGTTACATCGTCATCAATGAATGAAGAAGCAAACAAACAATCAAGGAAACTTTAACGAAAAACCACATTTTTACACTAAAAAATCAATTCTGGTACTATTCACTTTACCCTTTATTTTGGCCTTATCGTTAAAACTCAAAGTTTTCAAACCCTTTTCATTAGTTTTCCTAACAATGAATTAGCAAATTTTTGTCGGGTCCTATTTCCATGTAGGAAACGGAGCTGCTAGGAGCAGGTTTCATGGGTTATTTGGGATGTTTATGTGTGAAATTGGTTTCGGTAAATAACTGAACAAGACGCAGTACAAGCAATGAATCAATGAGCAGTGTTACATAGAATAACAAACATCCAAAATCTAGAAATCGAAAACGCAAACTCACCCTGCGTCTGATGAATCGCTGTGGCGGCTCGCGGTTCCTCCTGTTGGTGCGCGATCGCACCCTCACAACGTGAGAGTGAATTGCACAGGAAACACAGTACTGCATCTTGGCATACAGCTTAGGCAGAGTGTATTCTACACACCACAAACAACAACCAAATCCAAACATTTACACATTTAACCAATCACCGCGATACTCGAACAAAAACAAACCAATAAATCAACACCAAATCAAGAAAAAACAGAGTAATGCGAGGGTAAATTGGGACTTACGCTCATAGACACAGGCTTCCTGAACATCTCTCACCGCAGCCTGCTCGACGATGTTCCTCACCAAGAATCTCTTGATGGCCTTGTCCTAGTTCATCGCCAATACAAAATTAAACCCAATCAATCACGTATTCATACAATTCGAATACGTATAGATATACAGACACGTATAAATGTATACATTTGTGTGCGTGTGTGTATGCATACCTTAGGGCAGCACTTGCCGCAGTTGGAGCAGCGGATGAACTTGACGTGTCCACGGCCGTGCTTGTTGCGACCTCCATTTCTGCGCTTGAAAGTCTGCAGAGAAAAAAAGAAAAGAAAATTAAGCGAAAGGAAGCGGCGGACGGCGAGATGGATAAAACGCGGCGTTTAGGGCGGAGATCTGACCATGGTGTTCCGAGAGAGGGAGGAGATCTGAAAGTTCAGCGGCCGTCGGCAATGGAGTATGTAGGGTTTTACTCGCTGCTGCAGAAGCCAGAAGGTGAGTGACGTCGGGAAGGCTTCTTTTTTATATGGAGCGCGCCCTGGCGCCCTAGCCCAACAAAACGGCCCTTCGTTTATTGCACATTTGTAATCGCATCCCCAATGTTTTTGTATATTTACGTTTTGATCCCCATAACTTCTAATTAGAAACAGAATTTAATATTAGGGAACTTTAAAGAAAATCTCCCGTTACTACTCACTTCAACGAAAAATCACATTTTTACACTAAAAAGTCAATCCTGGTACTATTCACTTTATCTTTTATTTTGTCATTTTCGTTAAAACTCAAAGTTTTCATACAATTTTCATTAGTTTTCCTTTAATATTAAGTTGGGAAGAAGAAAAATAAAAGAGCTGATGAAAATCAGAGCTGTTATCGTCCAAAGGATCGGACAAGAGTATTACAACGGTATAATGATATTCTTAATCACTTGAAACTTGGAAATGGAAAGTTTCGGGTTTTATTTACTTGGATGACGAGGTACCGGGACCTAATTTTGGTATAATAGCATCAGTATCTTTGGTTGAGATGAGTTGAAATTTGAAGCTCTTTATTTTTGGTTATTTTCCTATAATTTTAATATAACTTGGGGTTTTACGCCCGTTTTCTTCTTATGCACTCTTCCTCTTGTGCGGCAAGAAAAAGAAAGTGCGAAAATCACTTTCCGTTCATCACAAACCAACCGGAAACCCCTCAATCATAACAAGAAGCACATTTCAGCCAGAAAATATAGACAAAAGCTCCAATGACATAAGCTTATTGTATCAAACCACCAAATACTGAAACTTCAAATAACAGAGATTAAATAAGTACGCAAACTCATACACTAATCTGGTTTTCATACACGTGAATACGTGATTAAATAAGCGTCCTCACTTGTCACGTTGGTCGTTTTATTTTTCATCTACTCAACCAGATGCAAATGCGGCCACCTTGTTCGGCTCAAGTGCTTTCTTTCTCGTACACTTCACTGGCATACTTCCAGTTGATGACTTTCCATATGTTCTTCAGATAATCTGGTCTCACATTCTTGTACTGCAACGTGAATAACAGATGCATCTTAATTCATAATTTCATATCAAACGATACGCGAAGAGGATAGCAAGAATGTAATAATACAGACAGCTAACAAGAGCAAACACCACTGACGCGTATTCCACAAAAACAATCATCATCGGACTTGGTAAAAAGTGATGACGGTTTTAAATTGAATAAACGATAAGCTTGTTTGAGGTCACCGTGGCACTTCAGATGCTAATTCAAGAACTGACAGAAAAAGGATGGAGGCTGTGTACAGACACCAAACATTATAGGAAAACAAGAACGACGTCACTTCCTTTGTGTCTGAAAGAGAACCTAACTTTAAACTTCACCACACGGAAAGACCTATCCCCCATAAACAATTCAACTCCAAGGAGCAAAAACTGACTTGTCCTTCACAAAGACAGTTTAAACAACCCTCCTACCTAATCCACTTGTACTCCCGAAGATAAACAATATCTTAGACTTCCAAGGCTCACCAATTGGGCAATTAAGAGAGTGTGTCAATCTGTATTGACTCTTATATACTACACGTACAAACTGATAAGTGAAAATAATTGAAGGATATACATGTTATGAAAATATAGATGATGCAAATCGCCTTTGCTCAAATTTACCTGAAAGTAGTACGCATGCTCCCAAACATCAATACCAAGCAATGGAACCAAAGATGCTCCTTTAGTAACCAATGGGTCCTGTAACAAGTTACTCAAATTAAAGAATATTCAGATGAAACAAAAACCGTAATTGCATGCTGCATATCAGTTAACTACCACGAGTTCTTTGGACAAAGAGATGCAGAACAAAAACCTTCGTAAATCCTAAAGTCATTAA